TTTTTCAAGCATATCATAATTAGTGATAGTATCTCCACAGAGTTTCAATTTAGAAGTAATTCTGAACATCGCATAATTATATTCAGAAACAGACTTAAAGTCTTGGAGCCTCAGATGAGCCCAATCATATCGTGCTTGTGGAAGAGTGACCAACTTTAAGTTGTCATATCTTTCCTTTAAGCCATTCCACAAAATAAGTGGATCTTTGACTGTGAAATATTCTATCTTCAACCCTTTATCAAGGTGATGGCGCAAGAAAATCAAGGCCTTAGCACAATCTTGGGGAGATGCTTTATTTTTGTCTTTAATGGCGTCTCCAAGACCCATTGCATCTAAATGGATTTCAACATCCAACACCCATGTCATATAGTTCTTGCCCGTAATTTCAAGGGCAACGAACTTTCTTTTCATAATATCAGTCATAATTAAAAGAGGAGAGAAGTTATACCTTAGTCTTCTCAAAGAGCTTCTTGAGACGATAGAGTCTCGTGCTGATAACGTGTTATAAAATATAACTCAAAGTAACAATATGAAACAAGGAAAAACAAGCTAAGAGATATAGAGAGAAAGAAAGGAGAGATTCTTATTTCTTTTTCAATTGTGTGTATTTTCCTATATATTACAAGGTTTTTATATAGACATGAAAAGTGAAGAAAATATGTCATTGAATATGTCATTAAACATAGAAAATATGTCATTAAGCATTTGAGATGAAAATCATGGAGTAAGAGTAGACATCCACCATAATTTGATATTTCTTATAACAATACCATTTTATTTCTTTTTCCCTAATGTTTAATTCCAACAAAATAAGTTTAACATCAGATAGTTAACTCATAAACACAATAATTTTTATTGAATAAAGATATGTATGAAATTTTTATCTTTAAAGATATTATTTAAATTAACATGAATGATCTTTACAAAATAATTGGAGTAATACAATTAAGAATATTATTTTTGTAATTAAGTGTCCATCCCTCATCTAGTGTGTAAATAAATGGAAATGACAATGCAAAAGTGTGAGAATTGAGAAAGCTATAACCCGCCCCAGGAGCTGGAGTTGAATATCCACAGGTGGATCGCATTTCTGACATGTACTAGCAGAAAACACTGGAAAATCCAAACATGTGTAGAGACAAAAGGGTCTCGATTTTCATTGCCTACATAGCCCTTCTCTGCTTGGCTTCAAACGCTACCTATGCATTTGAACCAGAATTCGGGTCGACCCGCGTTGTCTTTCAGGTTGATCTTCTTTCACATTACATATGTTTATTGTATTGAGTCACACTAATTCATGTTGTACAGCTGAAGTTAATGCTTGAAAGATCAGAACTTAGTATCTTCTTTTTGTAGTATATATTACTGTAAATTTGGTAAGTTTTGGATCTTTGTTGTGAGAAATAGAAGGAAAGTGGAATACTTTTCTCGATTAGAGGAATAAACTATTTTCATGTTTAGTACATTATTAACTGTTAGAGTTCACGCTGTTTAGTTTATTTTGCTAGTATATGTGGTTGAAATCAGAGGTAGATTCAGGAGCCTTTAGTCAGTGGATGCGGAAATTGCGCTCACTTCTACTTTGTGGCAATAAGTAATCGGTTTCAGGCCGCTTCATATACACACACTGGTCCTCATCGATCATATTAAAGTAATAAGATTGTAATAACTTGATGAAATCTCAACTACAAATGCCTAAATGATTGTTTAAATCCATAAATGGACCTCTCGAGCTTGCGAACGTTACTCTTGAACATTTTGGACAAAACCTAATGGTTACTCGAGACTTAGATGGTTCAGGCATGTGAAGAAGAGAGGCATAAATGCATCGGTGAGGAGGTGTGAGAGATTGGCCCTGGAGGGCCTAAGGAGAGTTAGAGGCAGGCCGAAGAAGTATTGGAGAGATGTGATTAGGCAAGATATGGCGTTGCTCCAACTTACTGAGGACATGACCATGGATAGGGAGGTATGGAGGTTGAAAATAAAGGTAAAGGGTTAGGTAGCCGAGCGTTGTCCTTGTCTGTAACAGTAGCTTTAGTACATAACTTAGTGTCATTTGTGTATTTTCGTATTCCTTGACTTCTGCTATTACTTGTTGTTGCTTTTGTTTCCGCTTTCTGATTGCAGTACCTAGTGTTAGTTTTGTATTTTTGCTTCGGTTTTCTGATTGGTGTGCTTGTTGTTGCCCTTCTTTTTACCTTTCCTAAGCCGAGGGTCTTGCAGAAACAACCTCTCTGCCTTTTTGAAGGTAAGGGTAAAGTCTGCGTACACACTATTATCCCCAGACCCCACTTGTGGGATTATACTAAGTTTGTTGTTGTTGTTCATCTAGCTCTCCATTGAGAAGTGGGGTTTTATATCCATTTGATGTAACTTCAAGTTCATGCTTGCAATAAATCTCAAGAAAATTCCGGTGTTCTGATTTGTCACTGTGTAGATAACATGACATATTGTACTTTGCAACTGATATTGAAAGAGTCAAGGAAACTAAATCATTTCTCACTTCTCATTTTGAGATAAAAGATCTTTGAAAAGCTCATGCGATTTTGGGCATTAAAATTGTAAGATTTATTGGTTTTATTCTTACTGAAGCCAACTGTATTGAGAGTCTTAAAAAGTTTGGTTGTTTTGATACTAGCCTGCCCTACACCATAAATTCCAGTGGTGCTGTAGATTAGCTGACTTAGTATTCGGATTGTTGGGAGTCTTATATATGCCATGCATTGTACAAGACCTGATATTGTTTATGCAATACGAACATTGAGCAAGTTTACTAGTAATCCCAGAGTTGAACATTAGAATGCCTTAAGCCGTGTTTAAAGGTACTTAAAGAATACAATTAATGTTGGAATGCATTACTCTCCCTTTCCAACCGTTCTTGAAGGGTATAGTGATGTGACTTGGAATTCTGCGACTCTAAGTCAATTACTGCTTGGACACTTTAGCTGAAACAACAATTGCTTGGCAATCAAAGAAGCAAATATGTATTACTCACTCAACAACAAAATCAGAATTTATAGCTATGTCTTCTGCTGGAGAAGTAGCCGATTGGCTTGGAAGTATTTTAATAGATATTCCTCTCTGGAGTAAGGCAGTGCCACCTTTGACTATCTACTGTGATGATAAATGTGGTATATTTCGGGCTTTAAGTGATTGTTACGATGACACATTGAGACAAGTTTGTCCCAAACGTAATAACATGAGAAGATTATTGGAGGATAATATAATATGCGTTGAATATGTTAAATCCAGGTTTAATTTAGCAGCTCTTTGTCTAAAGGATTAGGCAAAGAGTTGTTGGTGAAAACTTGTAAACGGATGAGAATAAAACTTGTTGTAAATTTACTGTACTTTATGAAAACCCTACCTAATGATATTATCTTAGGTTCAAAGGGACAAACAAGTAAAGTTACATTTGTTGAGATGTCTTGAGCACATCAATAAAATTCCCATTATTTGGAAAGATGTAATGGATGTGCATATTCCGTTTGAAAAGGAGGATAATATTCTATTCTCTTTATAAATCTTTGACCAATTTCGACTGGAGTTAGTAGGAACACTTTTGATAGATTTATCGATACTTTGTTGTGAAGAAGTTTGAAACTAATATCTCTTAATGAATTACTAGACTATTTTCGTCGAAGTATGCAAAGTTCCTCTTGATGAATTCACCGGTCTAAGTGCAGAGTGCATGCTGCTTCGATAAGATTTAGAAAGGCAAAATCTTAGCACTTAGAAAAAAGGATTCAGAGCACACGGGTGTAAGGTGACAAAGTTTCTCTATTTTCACTGGAAAATAGTAATGTGCATAGGTATTTTCTACTTCATATGATGAATTCCTTTGTTCAAGATTCATTCACTAGCAGTTTAATGATTTAGAATACTTTCACTAGCTAATGATTCAAGTCCGGAAGATGCCACTATCGATGCGTGTAACTAAATCAATTGTCTCAAACCTTCAAAGTTTCTTAAACAAGTAGAGGATTGTTGGAAATAAGTGTTCCAATAAATTTGGAACAATAATTTTTTTCCGGAAGACTTAGAGCCCGTTTGGACATAAGAAATTTTTCCTTTTTTTCAAAAACAATTTTCAAAATAATGTTTGGTTATGAAGAATTTACAATTTTTCAAATTCAACTTGAAAATGCATTTTCGAATTTGATTTCAATGGAAAATTGGAATTTTTATATTTTTAAATTTTACAAATTTATCTTATATTTTTAAAATTTATAAAAGGACCCCAATCAGTTATTGAACCTAGGTGACACCTACAACTACCCACCATATGATTGAGTGGTCTTGGACTATATTTTGACATCCATTGTTAAATCTACAATTTATACTTTTAACTGAAGGAGCCACTACCACTTCTATTAGAGATTGTTCATACAGTTAAACAATCAACATGTTTGATTGTTTGTTTCAAGTAGGATAATCAAGTCTGGGTGGCTTTGATATTTTTTCACAAATTGTGGGGATATAAATCATGTTTCATGGTTTGAAAAAAACACATCCAAATATGTTGCAAAAATTATAACCAAACACAACTTCATCTTCAAATCAAATTTTTGTGAAATTCCAAATGTGAAAAAAATCTTGGAATTTATGTCCAAACGCCTACTTAGTTTTCCACAGTGAATCAATCTTGAGAAATGAATTTGGAAAACTTTTTAAGTTCATCCTGAACTCCTAAGATATATTCTTGATTTTGCAAATATATTTTGGGTATTCTAAAAATCATGAATTTATTCATGAACTCTATTTAACGTTGTTTACATTTTTCAAGAAATTCTTTGTGTATAAGTAGTGGTTCTTTCATTTGGAAAATATAAGCATAAAAAACACAAACAAGCACGTTCCTTATTCTGAAAACAAAAGAAAGACATTGGTCAGAAGGTGAAATCCTAGATTCAAGAATAGAAGAGCAACGTTCTTGAATGCTACCTTGTTGAGTCTTAGTTGAACACCAAGACTTGAATGCTACCTTGTTGAGTCTTAGCTGAACACAGAGATGGTGTTGTCATTATTTTTTCATTTGCTCGTGGAAGAAACTTTAACTATCTTCAAATAGTGTATTTACGTGCCTCTACCCACGAGAAGATTATTATTGTTGTTTAACAATTTTTCATATGTTATGGTCCACCAACTGAAAATATGTTTTATCTCTAGTTACAATGAACGAGTTAAAGTTATTATTATATCTGGTTCTAAGAACTTGAAGATATTTTAGTTCTTTATTATCTTGGTTCTAACAAGGAAATATTTCCTGATATATGGCCACAAGGATACATCCTACATGATATGCACATATGATTCCTATCTGTTTTATTCAAAAGATCCTGATTGTAGTAGGACAAGAAACTTTGGTTCTTTAATTAGGTGATCACCTTTCAAACCTTAAGCAAGAATATTTTGATAAATTATGTATTGCTTATTTATGCGCTACAAATTTTTAGATGTGAAGTGCTTGGTTCAAGAGATATGGAGATATTTAATTGGCACGAGAATGAAGTAGCAGGGAATGAGAAAATCATTTTCTTCCAATGTTGTGAGAAGAGACACAAAAGGGGATGATATGTGATGGTAGTCTGAGGCATCAAAAGAGATATTGGAAAACAAAGATGATGATTTTTTCTTAGTTCTCAAAATTTTCACCTATGCATCCATATCTCTCAAGTTCAAAGACATGATGGAAATCCATGGTTGATCTAGCTCATGGCAAAGATTGCAGCACGCGATCCACTTTGGGATATGTATTCTTGCTTAAAAATGTTACCATTTTGTGGAGTATCAAGCAGATATGCATAGCTTTGTCAACTATGGAAGCAAAGTTTATTGCATGTTCTGCAGCAGTGCAAGAAGCTGTGTGGCTAAAGAGGTTTATGAAATACTTTGGGATCATTGGCAAGTTAATGGATCCAGTTTAGCTGTGTTGTGATAGCCAAGTAGCCGTAGCTTATATGGAAGACCTTAAGTATCATTATAGGACTAAGCACAATGACACAAAGTACAACTTTGTTAGACCCATCATAGCGCGTGAAGAAATCACTTTTTAGTTTTCGATACAGAAGTTGGAATTGAAGTAGTAAAGTCTTCTAATTGCTCGAACTGAAAAATCTTCAATTTTTTTGAATCATATATAATAACTTCAACTCATTGAACCGGAGGTAAAACATTTTGCGACAAGGCATCTGCATAGTTATTTAAATATTCTTGTCATTCTTAGAGGCGCATAAAATACGCTTCTTAAGTCTCCTCTACGAGCAGATGGAAGAATAAATTCAACAACATAGAGTTCAACCAAGGCACAACAAGGTAAACATCCAAGAATGTCTTTCTTTTGTTCTTCAAATAAGAGAATTGCTTTCTTGTCCTTCTCAGAAAAAGAATTGCTTTCTTGTGCTTATTTTTGTGCTTTTATTTCCAAATGAAAGAACTCCTATTTATTGGCTAAGATTTCTTGAAAAACTCAAACAACATTAAACAAAGTTCATGAATAAATTCATGCCTTTTATAATATCATAATGTAGAAGAACGTATTTAAGAGCTCAAGAATGAATCTAATAAAATTTCTAAATTCATTTTTCAAGATTCATTAACTTGGATAACCTAACGTCTTGCATGTATTTAATAAAATTCATTCCCAATTTAGTACAAATTAGTATTCTTAAAGATTGTTAAACTATCTAGAGTATTCACCGGGTGCAGCAGGCCCACACCCCTGCTGAAATGTAGTTTTAGTTATGTTACATCTAAGGATTAAAGTTTCTTGGTGATCCTTAGAATGTAATTATTCATAAGAAACAGAAAGAATCTTCATTTGTCATCCATAGCATGTAAAGGGTAGCCCAATGCACAAAGCATCCCGCATTCATATAGGGTTCGGGGAAGGGCCGCACCCCAAGGTGTGATGTAGACAGGCTACCCTAATGCAAACATTAGTGACTGCTTCCACGGCTCGAACCCGTGACTAGGTCACACAGAGATAACTTTACCGTTGCTCCATGGCTCCCCTTATACCATGTATTATTTTAAATTGGTAACTTTTGTTTTATATTGTGAGAAGTAGAAGGATAATGGAAGACTTTTCTTGTTTATTGTGATATTAAGTTTAGTTTGTTGGGTATTTGATTGCCAATAATGTATATATTCATGTTTGATTATGAGCTGTTAGAAATTCATACTGTTTAGTTAATTCTGCTAGTATTCTGTTGAAATCAGAGGCAATTAATGATGTTTAGTTAGTGGGGCGAATTACCACTGCATCTACTACTACTTTGTGGCAGTGAGTGTGAACATGGTGTGTGTGTGTATATATATATATATATANAAGTGGGTGGAGAACCATGAGGTCTTAGGTTCAATCCTAGTGGAGAGAAAAAACACTAGGTTATTTCTTTCTATCTGTCTAAGACTTGGTGGACACAATTACTCGATATCTGTGCTAGTGGAAGGTAGCAGGTAATCGGTAGATTTAGTCGAGGTGTGCGAAAATTGGCCTGAACACCACCATTAGAAAAAAGAAAAAAAGAAAAAGTAGATGTGGTTCAAGCCGAGGGGCTGTGCCAAAAACACTACATCTTTGCGTGGTTGAATCATTGTATTTATTTAGTTTAAAACTTCGGATAAAAGTTTCTTTGTGATCCTTGGCATGCAATGATTCATTAAGAAAATAGAACTTGGAATCTGTATTTTTATCAGTAAAGCAAGTATATTTGTACATAAGTAACTCCTACTTTAAATTATAGAAGTTGAAGGAAAATGCGGAACTTTTTTTTTGGTTAAACGGATATTCAGTTAAGTGGGTTGGATACTGTGATCCCTAAGAATGTATATTGTTATTAGCTATCAGAATTCTCGCTGTTACTTGATTCTGCTATTATATTGAATTGAAATAAGGTTTTAATTATGTCTTACAATGTAAGGATAAAAGTTGCTTGCTGTGCCGACTCTTAATCTCCTCACCACTCAAACCACCAAGTACGAACTTTGTCTTGATCCATCTGAATAGTTTTTGACTGATTTTAACTATATGGCAGACAAATTATGGAGATATTGAATTTGGTTTCTACCCTAGTGTTGCACCAAAGACAGTTGAGCACATCTTCAAGCTAGTGCGCTTGGGATGCTACAATACCAATCACTTCTTTCGGGTAACTGCCAGTAATTAAAACATTGTGCCTTATTATGTTTGGAATTTGATGATGAGAATCTTAATGACGTCGGCAGGTTGATAAGGGTTTTGTTGCCCAAGTGGCTGATGTTGTTGGGGGGAGGAGTGCACCTATGAATGAAGAACAAAGGGCAGAAGCTGAAAAAACTGTTGTCGGTGAACTTAGTGAAGTGAAACATGTGAGAGGGATCCTTTCAATGGGAAGGTAATGTTTGTTGATTTTCTTGGCTATGAATGGCCAGATCTATAGTAAGTTACAAGCATGGTACAGTTATTCTTTTGAGACGCACTGTTCCTATATATTGCAATTTCATGCTTATAAGAAATGTTCATCTGGAAAAATGCATGACATAGTCTATTAATCTTTTATTGAGTGACATTGCTTGTTAAGAAGCTGTACAACATAACTTCTAAAGTAAGGGTAGACTCGGAGATGTCAAAGTAGGAATTGACTAGTATACAGGATTTCGTCTTTTGCTGCAGATAGTCATGGTCTATACTAAGGACTGACCGAGGTGTATGCGGGTATTGTCTGGGATATGTAAATTAGGATCAAACTCTATGGATGCCACACGCAATTAAAAATCTTTTCTATTCTCTAGCAAGATACCTTCAATTTTGCACTTTCTGATTTTACTGGTATTTCATTTGTGCACCAATTAACTTTAGGTGAACCTTTCTCATATCTGATTTTCCATAGGTATGATGATCCTGATAGTGGTACGTCATCATTTTCAATGCTCCTTGGAGATGCACCTCACCTTGACGGCAAGGTGTGCTGGTCAAAATCCTAGCTATCATAGTGAATAGAGAAGGATTTTTTAAAATTGAGAATCTTACATTATTTTTCATTTTTTGTCGAATAATTCAGTATGCAATATTTGGCAAAGTCACAAAAGGAGATGAAACATTGAGAAAGCTTGAGCAATTACCTACTAGACGTGAAGGGATCTTTGTAATGGTATTATTTCTAGTCCAATTACTTTCTTTTCATTTTTTTTTCATTTGAAACAGGTATAAATTTATCTACTTTGCTTGAAAGTAGTATCTAATGAAAGGTATCTTGACTATGCTAAAAATATTACATCGGCTGTAGTTTTATGAACTTGATCCTTTTGAAGCCTACTTTATAATACTTTTTGTGTCGTTTGAAAAGCAACACTTTAAGCACATCATATTTTTACGAAATGTATTCATGGGAGAAAGTTATTTTTTGAGAAATTTGGAACACATGCATTTGTTTGTTGGTTGATAATGCAATGATTGGTCCTAGGAGTTGTGCTGGAGATTTCAGTTTAAACTCGTAGATATGATCTAAACTTTCGGAAGTTCTTCATTTTTTATGTCAATATTGTCCATATATGGAGTACATAGAAAATTTGGTCCTTTAAGTTTGTTGTCAAATCAATTTCGTCACCAACATTCGATAGGCATAAACTGCAGCCATCATGTCTGAAAATTCTAATAGGTCCTTTACCATGATCCCGCGGTAAATGTGGCTTGAACATGCTAAAACTAAGGCGCATAGTGAGATTCCAAATTGACTATAAAGATAGAATAGAAGGTGGTGCGGTCGTGCTGGAGGAGTTGTAATGAATGAATAAGAATAGGCCTTGGGATGGAGGTGCTGGGGTGGGAGGGAAGAAGCTAAGTAGGGGGGAAGAAGAAGCCTGGGGCAGGATGGGTGAGGAGCTGGAGGGAATTGTGATGGTGAGAGAGTTGGGAGGGGACGAAGAAGAATAATAGAGGCTGGGGAAGGAATCATCCATGAGCATGGCTGCTACCTGGGGTGCAAAGGAGGGCTATGATGGTTTAGAGGAAGTGAGGAGTGGCATTGTGAACGGGGGAAGGGGGGTGGGGAGTGCAGCGGCGAAGATTAGGAAATGTTGGATACGAAAAGGAATTTGAGGGATTGGATGCGATAGAGTGTTGGAAGATGATGGTTCTGGTAAGATGGCGTACAGAGAGCATCATCATCATCATTTTTATGTACTGTATTTTGCTTAATTCTTTTTGCATTTTAGGATCTTTTTCCATTTCCGGCATTAATTCAGCTGCTGGAAAATATACACATGTGGGGTTGGGCGGAGATTTCAAGTACTTTTTCTATAACCAATCTCAGACATTGAGGATGTAATTGACACATCAAAAGATAGTCTTTCTGTATGCTCATTCATTTTCTTATACTTTTTTTCCTTTTTCTTTTTCTTTGTATGAAATATTATTTACTTCATCTAGTCTTTTGGCTGTTTCTTCCAGATAGAAGCTTTTGTCTTTTTACTGAATAGTCTTTATTCTCATTATTCAGCCAACTGAACGCATCACAATTCAATCAACATATTATTATGGTAAGACGGTGTTCTTTCAGCTCTGTGTTAATTTTTTTTTTACTATCCACATCATTTCTTGACATGTAACTTACACTTTCTGAAGCCAGAACACATGCTTAGCCATGGTTATTGCACCTCATGCATTTAAAATTTGACCTGTCAAAAAAGTGAGCATGCATGCATGCATGAATTTGATAGTCACTCTGGATGGATGGTTCTCTTTGGAAATAGATCTGGAAATGTTCATCTCACTAGACATACAATGCCAAGAACACAGCACTTGCCTTTTGAGGCAATGGGCCGGTTTTTTTCTTCTTTTTTTTCTGGGTCAAGGTGGAATTCATTTTGCTCACAAAGTCCAAATGCTGTTATCTTTGGCTTTAGATAACTCGTTAGGGATCGGGAACCTTACTTTGAACTATTTGAAAGGACGCTTAGATCCTTTCTAGGTGGACCTTTATTACCTTTATGGCATTTCCCTCTCGTGTCAATTGGGCAAAAAGCATGTCTGATTCCGGAGGCTTACTGTAGACAGCAGGGCTTCACTTTGTCCCGAAAGCATAATTTGAGACTGGAGTGTAGGATTTGGTGAATTCATGGAGTGAACCAATTGATCTTTAAGCTTTTCTAAGTGAAAATGTTACTTCAATTCACATCAAACCGATACTATTCTTGGCAGAAGTGGACAATTTCTACCAAGGAGATCTAATTTATTTGTTTGCTCCCAGAACTGTATAACAAAATTCTCAAAAATTACAAGGTACCCTATGAAAGCAGTGGAGGAAGGTATACTTTTTGGGAGAACCGCGTGAGGTGACTTTGACAGTGTGTTGTTTCCATCCTCTCTTTTCTGTGGTTATAGATCAAATGAGTGTTGGTCAGTTCAGAATTAGGCTATCTTATAAAGTTCTTACCTTCCTCGTATTTCTTCCATATTATGTCTGAATGTTCTTCTGTTTTGCTCAGACACCAACATGAAAACTTGTGAAGAAGAGAGGTCGTTGCTAAAAAGAAGACTTTCTGCAGCTGCTGTTGAAATAGAAAGACAGGTTTTCGTTATTTAAACTAAACTATTTTACGCAAATAAATCTCGTTCTATTGTACCAACACAAAAGATTCTTTTCTGCAGAGGATGAAATGCTTTCCTTGATCATGTGGAAAAGACAGCAGTTCCATTGACATTCTTATGTAAGCTTCTTACTTATCTACCTCTAACTGAGTGAGTAATTTTTCATTGGCCAGCTGGAGTGTGTCTGAACCTTTATCATAGGCTAGAGTTTCTACCAGTAGCTATTGAATTAAAGTTGGCTGGCAGGATTTATTATCTGCAAATTTGATTTAATTAATCGTACACCTGCATTTGCTCATGAATTTTAGTCCTAACAACTCCTTGTCCATATTTGCGAAACAATCTTCCCATGGCACATGCTTGTCAAAATTATGGTGAAGCCGACATACATCTTTAGTTTGAGCAAATGTGTTGGTTCTTGATGAAAGAAACTAAGGGAAATAACAGGGGAAGATGACAAGAAAATAAAAAAATTATACCGGAATAGATGTAAAAGGAACTGAAGCTGAAAATTCTATATTATTTTACTGCATTTGGACTACAATTTATAAGAGAAATACTAACTTAAAAGACCTAAAAATAAGCACAAAATCTACTGAAAATAAAAAACTCCTAGAGACTAGTTCACTACTAAAGACTAGTTCAAAATTATTTCAAATTCAAAACTAAATTACTGCAGTAAATAATTCTTAAGCTGAAACAGTAAAATAATTTTAGTGAGAGCAGCTTCTAAAGCATATTTCTAACACTCCTTGCTTTTGAAGCTGCAAATTCTGAATTTGTGCCTTGTAAACCTTTAACTGGAAACGAATTTGTACGTAAATCTGCCAACTGATCTTTGGACTTGCCGTAAATCGAGTTCACTTTTCTATTTTGCTGCATCTCATGATTGTCAATGAAATAAGTTGGCTCTTTTTTCGGCTTCATTTGCATCTTGCCTTGAGACTTATCTAACTTTCTTCCAGATTTGCATTTTCCCTTGAGGCTTGTCAACTTTCTTCCAGATTTTATTTTTCTGAAATATTGACAATTTCTTCCTTGCCTCATTTTCACATATGTCCTCAGTTGGAGGATTATCTGCACGTTGTAGATTCTTTTGACTCCATTCTTCATTTTCTGTTGGATCAAATGAGAAGTTTTTACCTCTCATTTTAACTTTTAAAATCTCAAGTCCAGTTGCATCATAAATGAAACAATGTTTATCTTCAAAGGATACTTTAAATCCCTTTTCCATTAGTTGTCCAACACTCAATAAATTTTGATCAATATCAAGAACATAAAGAACATCTGAAATTTTCTTAGTACCTTAATTTGTTGCAATTGCAACAGTTCCTTTTCCTTTAGCAAGAACATAATCACTATTCCCAGTTCCGACTTTCTTATTTCCCATAGACGTGAATTCTTTGAAAAGATTTCTGTCATATGTCATGTAGTTTGTACAACCACTATCAATTATCCAAGAATCAGATTTCTTGGTTGAAAGAAGAGTTGCCACAAACAAGTGATCTTCTTCTTCATTGGCGACTTGGGCATTTGCTTCATGCTTTTGAGATTTGCCTTTGCAAATTACAGCTTCATGACCAAGTTAGTTGCAGATTTTGCACTTTGCATCTGGCCTCTTCCAACATTTGAATGGTGGATGACCTTTTTTGCCACAATGCTGACAAGGTGGGTAATTTTTCTTTGCATTATTACCTTTGCTTTGAGTTTTGTGGTTGGCTGTCAAGGCTCCTTCAACCATACCATCTTGCCTCATAAGCCTCCTTTGCTCTTGTGCCTGCAATGTATTTAACAATTCTGCCAAGGTAATCTTGGATAGATCCTTTGTATTTTCCAAGGTAGTTATGGATACTTCATATTTTTCAGGCACCGTAACAAGAATTTTTACAACAATTCTTGAATCTTTAAATTTAGTACCAAGCAACCTTACCTTGTTAACAATGCCAAGTAACCGATCTGAGTATTCTTTGACGGTCTCAGATTCTTTCATTTTCTGCAACTCGAATTCCCTTACTAAATTCAACACCTTCATGCCTCGTATTCTTTCATCTCCTGTATATTCTTCCTTTAGATAATCCCAAATTTCTTATGCTGATTTGAGAGCCATAACTCGTGAAAATTGTTGCACACACACCAGCAAACAAAGTTGCTTTCGCCTTTGATTTCCTGGTTTTCTTTTCCTTGTGACTCTTGATCTGGGCCACGGTGGGATTGTTAGGCAGCGGAAGAACACTATAATCCTCTTTCACAGACCTTCCAAAGATCTAAAGCCTCCCAGTAAGTCTTCATTCTCACTGCCCACAGTTGGTAATTTTCACCATCAAAGACTGGAGGAGCCAATTTGAGAAAATTCGTTTCAGTCTCCATCTCATTCAAGAAAAGATTTTACTTAGGTCCCTTAAAAAGATGGCTCTGATACTAATTGTTGGTTCTTGATGAAAGAAACTAAGGAAATAATGGGGGAAGATGACAAGAAAATAAAAAGAGTATACTGGAATAGATGTAAAAGGAACTGAAGCTGAAAATTCTATATTATTTTACTGCATTTGGACTACAATTTAAAAGACTAACTTAAAAGACCTAAAAATCAGCACAAAATCTGCTGAAATAACAAACTCCTAGAGACTAGTTCACTCCTAAAGACTAGTTCAAAATTATTTCAAATTTAAAACTAAATTACTGCAGTAAATAATTGTTAAGCTGAAACAGTAATTTTACTGAGAGCAACTTCTAAAACATATTTCTAACAAAATGGGATGGATCTTAGGATGAATTTTAGTTCACTTTTAGCATAACAAATTCATAGTCTTCGAATCTCAAAAACGATTAATATAGATGATGTTAACACATTTTAGCATTTGTACAGTATGAGGTTTTAGCAATCATTTTTCTCTCCAATAGTTCATCGAGAAATTATTAAAATACATCCCGTACCTTCTTGTGATGTAAACTGAAGAGTGATTCTTTTTTTTCATTCTGCCATGTTCATACCAAAAACCTCCCCTGCCCTCTGAAGTAAAAGGAAAAGAGGAAAACCCTTTGGACTGTACCATGACTACATTCTTATGGTAAACACACAAAGTTCTTCTGTTCACTTTGTTTTTCTATTCTCTTTTTCTGTTAACACTGTTTGTTGTTTATTGTCATCATTGTTATGTATAGATGTAGTTGGCTTCATCTATCTTTACCCTCGCTTATGATGTGATTGTCTTTCAACTTTTGTACTACTACTGCTGATTATTGCTATTATAACTTGCAATATTGGCAGAAGAATATGCATTCGAGAAGCTGGCATTCAAATTGATAATTTTGCAGAAGGAAAGGCACTACCTACAAGCTAACTCTTTTTTGCATGATTTAATTTCTCCTGGAGTTTTAAAGGACAATTAAGAAAGCAGAGGACTTAAGACTAACAAGGCTGCTGCTACAGGTGACAAGTCTGGTATTACAGGTTGATTGTGTGCCAAAATTCATGAATTTAAGATATGACACATTTGTTAGAAATGTGTGTATCTTAATGACATATTTAATCATGTTTAATGGAATCTAATTATATGTAAACTTTTTTGTTTGAGATTTCATTCTCCGTGAGAAACTGCCCCCATTAGTTTAACTCCTCTGCTAAGCGCCATAAGAGCCAATAATAGAATTGTTCATGGCCTCACTCCCTTTCAAAATAAACAACTTTCAATGCGAGGAAAATAAATGCTTCTGTTTCACGGGTTAATCACCCCACTTGATTTATTTAGGAAATTTTTTAACATGCATGCTAAGGTTTATTAAATATCAATTAATATTTTATAATTAATAGAAATGGTAATGTATGAAATCACTTAAAAAAAATTCAATGTTTAGTTTTTCCTGGGGTAGGGGAGCTTGATGGAGAATAACTGAATAAGCATTGAAGAAGCCAATGGCGGCATGCCCTATAAACAACCTAGGAAAGTGGATTTACTGATTTATATTTTCCTGACTATAAACAGACTCGTGATTATGATAGGGATGTATGCTTTGCTCTCTCGGATCCCTACTCTACTCGAGATTAAAAGGCCCCTATTGAGGAATGTGACATTTATTTCTTTTTTTAATGTGAGAAATCCATTTTCAATTTTATTTGCAGCTAAAATTTGTCTTGTAACTTTTTGAAATTGGAGTTCAAAAGCTACTTGGCTTTGCCTTTTTTATTTGAGAAAAAGGTTACGGACCTCCTTCTAGTTACAGAAAAGAGTAAAAAAGTACTAAGAGAACCAGTTATGAACACTTTGATATTTGGACAAAAATGGCGTTGGCAACCAACCTCTAATCTGTCCTCTCTGTTTAATTAAAAGACTATTTCATGCGTGCAAACTCGACTTAAGCTTTCTTATCTCTTCAAGTTTATTTGAGTCATTTAGTGCTTAGACATTGTGTTTATTTTGTCCCTGAGCTAGCGGATTTGCAATAATTATTAACCAATAACTTTTTCGAGTAAGCAAAAAAAGTCCAAAAACTGGTTGAATTTGATGGGAGCAAACCCTTTTCTTTGCAAAAGAAAGAGAAAAATAAAAGTCAAAGAAAGAAAAGAAGCAATCAGACAAGAAAGAGAGAAGAAAAAACGACATAATGAAACGGAGTGAGAGTGAAAAGGAGTGAAAGAAAGAATTGGGGCGTGCAGTTTGCGATGCCGTTCTGCCGCGTATTCACATTTGCTGAATTTTTTTTCAGTAGACGTTCTTCAGGTATCCCTCTTTTATTTGTAAATTATTCTCACTTCTTCTTCTCTCATTAATAAAGAGCTATTCTTTGTGTGGCCGTGGAGTAGGCAAAAGTTACCGAACCATATAAATTTTGTCTTGTCTTGTACAATTTAGTGCTTTTCTCTTTAAATATTTTTTTTCCTTCTATTAGCCTACACGCTTCGCAACTGAATTTTGCGGTATCTTTTTGCTAGAAGTGAAACAAGCAGAACGGGAACAGTAGTGATAATTCTCCTTCGATAAATTATCGTATAGTAGAAAATGAAACTTGATATTTTCCGGAGGATTTTAATTAGTGGAATATACGTCGGACTATATAGTCTATGACAATTATTGATATGGACATAAATAAGCTTTGACGTCTAAGTAAAGAGAAGAGATTGCAAATCTTGAACCACGTTTCTCAGTTGGTAATCCTTCAAATTTAAACGTTTTAACAATTTCACTCAACTAAACATATTTTCTTTTCTCATGTTTCCTCAAGCAGGAAGTTAGGCTTCTGTCCCTTTTCTTCTGATGACTTTACATAACCCTTGTAATTTAGGGTATTTTCCATTGTGAGCACTTTTCTCTGTATTTTTCTATTAGGATTATCTGTATATATACTGAGTTATACATATAAACGATGATGGTGAAGGATATCAGTTCAGAGGTGAATCTAGATTTTAAGATCATGGGTGCACATATAACTTTGATGTAAGATTAATGCTTGTCATAACGTCAGTAACGTAAAAAGATTTAGTGTTTTATGACTTATTATTAACTTTAAAAATGTTATTCAAAGAGATAATTAACTATAATCCTGCTAAATTAAATTTATTTTTTGATTAATATTATCAATTATACTTTGTACAAGTATTAATGCCGTTAAAACTAAAACTGGTCCAAGTTTTAGAATAAAAAGAAGCACGAAAATATCAAAAAGCCTTGGAGCATATGGTTACTTCTTTATATGTGAATTGCTTACAAAAAAAAAGAAGAAGCTATATTCCGTTCTAAAGGAAATTGGAGATAGAAGTTCAACAATTTGACTGGAAGAAATTAAGCAATAATTTGATTGGAATAAAAATAATTAAGCAAGTCTCTTTGTAAAACTTAGAATAGATCTTACATGCACTCACATAAATTATTTTCTTTTGTTATTATAATAGTGAAACAAATTTATAATGGTTTAAAATAAAAATAAAACTTAATTAGAAGTAATTAATAGCTAATCTCTAATTTTTTAAATTTATCGTATACCATGAAGAATAAATTGGGTTGAAATCGGTTGCAATCAAGGAGAGAATCAAAGAACAAAAAAATGATAAGAAAAGACAAAAGAAAAAAATATAATGGAAAAAATAGAAGAAAAGCCGAGCAAAAAACTTAGAGCCCGTTTGGACATAAGATTTTTTTTTCTTCAAAACAGTGTTTGGTTATGAAAATTTTACATTTTTTCAAATCCAATTTGAAAATGCATTTTGGAATTTGAAAAACTGTTGTGAACTAGTTTTTCAATTGAAAAATTGGAAAGTTGGTATTTTTAAATTTTACAAATTTACCCTATATTTTTAAAATTTATAAAAGGACCCCAATCAGTTATTCAACCTAGGTAACACCTACAACTACCTACCATCTGATTGAGTGGCCTTGGACTATATTTTGACATCCACTGTTGAGATCTACAATTTATACTTTTACCTGAAGAAGCCACTACAATTTTCATTAGATATTGTTCGTACAGTTAAACAATCAGCATATTTGATTGTTTGTTTCAAGTAGGATAATTAAGTCGGAGTGATTTTGATATTTTTTTTACAAATTGTGGTGTATAAATCATGTTTCATGGTTTTGAAAAAAGCAGATTCAAATATATTACAAAAATTATAACCAAACACAACTTAATTTTCAAATCAAATTTTAGTGAAATTTCAAATTTAAAAAACAAATCTTGAAATTTATGTCCAAACGCCTACTTAGTATCATATGTGGCAATTGTCTCAAACTGAGGCACCAAATGCCAAATTTGACCATGGGTGCCTTCTGCTCTGTATAGCAAAACATGGGAAATTTTAAAACCGGAAATCTACTTTTATTTGCAAGCAGGATGGGTTCACGTGCCCCAAGATTCTTAACGTGGATACGCCTCTGCTTATGAAGTAACTAAACTAGTAAAAGGATAACCACCAAGTCACTATTTTTTATTATGAAGTAACTAAATTAGTAAAGGGATAACCACCAAGTCACTATTTTTTATTATGAAGTAACTAAACTAGTAAAATCAATTATATTTTATTATATTTTATTTCAATCATAAAATCAATCGATAATAGTGATTTGGTGATTATCTTTGGTTCTGATTAGCGTAGGCGCTTTCACTCAAAAAAGAAAAAGAGGCAAAACACAAATGAATAGTGTACATGGAAGGAAAGAGCGTAAACTAATCAAGGGTGATGCCGTGCCATATTGTGAGTGTTAATGCACGAAGGGTAATGCCGTGCCATGATATGAGAGTTAATGCACGAAGGGTGATGCCGTGCCGTTTCTATTGATTTTATGGTAAGATTGAGAGTAAAAGCACGAAGGGTGATGCCGTGCATATTTTCTTACTTTATTCACTATTCCTGCTGATTCATGGTATATTGACTGCTCTGGTGATCATTATGTTGTAGTTCTTTATCTTGTATTTCTCTCAGTATGTTCCCCTCCCGACATTTCCTGTTTAGTTCTTCATTTCTGTTATTTGCATATACACTGTTAAATTGTACAAGTTGATTGTAGGTGTCTTGCCTTAGCCTCGTCACTACTTCGTCGAGGTTAGGCTCGATACTTACCAGTACATGGGGTTGGTTGTACTGATGCTGCACTCTGCACTTTCTGTGCAGATTTTGATACCGGCTCAGGTTGATCGAGATTTGCTACTGGTCCGCTGTCTGGAGATTCAAGGTAGATCTGTCAGCGTCCACAGACCTTGAAGTCCCCGTCTATCTTTTATGTCCTACTATTTTCTTTCATTCAGACAGTTGTATTTCTTTCAGACTATTACTTGTAGTAAATTCTAGAATGCTCGTGAATTGTGACTTCAGATCCAGGTGGTAGTAATTAATTCAGTTTTATGATATTTCGCACTTATTACATTTCATTTGAGTTAATTATTATTATTTATTGAATCGAAATAAGGAAATGGTTTAATGATTCTCTAACGTTGGCTTGCCTGACAAGTGAAATGTTACGCACCATCACGGTCCCGTCGGTGAAAAATTTCGGGTCGTGACATGGTCATACCACGGTCCAACAGTCAGAATATTATATGATCCATTTCTTATGTTATACAAAGAATGGACAAAAGTTTCACCAAATTTAAATGAGTTATATCACACAGATCACATATGTTATTTAGAAAAAATTGATCAAATATATTTCTTTCTAGAATTTTCTATTCCATGGATTCATAAGTGGACTCCAGAGTTGGGATTCACTGAAGAACAAATTCCTTGTTTATACAGGACCTTTTATAATAATTTTTGGGATAAATTGATGAAAAAAGATCCCAAAACAAAGATGTTATACAGTCAAGAACTCTTGGATTCCATTAAAATAAAAACCCAAGAATATTCCAACAAACCCAAAAGGAAATAATTGATGATAGCTCAGTTCGGCACATTGCCAGAAGAATCTCTTTTCAAGAAGGAGATAAAGATGAAATGATTATCTGGAAGAAGTAAAAAGAAATTTGCTTCGCTCTATCAGCCAATATGAAAAATCTGACACTTCGATGCGGAGTGAGACTAGCAATGATGATATTGATGATTCTCAGCCTATTGAATCAGAAAAGATATTATCTGAGGATACTATACAAAATGCGGAAGAATTCCTCCAAAGGATGAAGGAGTTAGAAAAACAACCTCGATTGTGATATTTGTGGTCAACTACAGTAATAGCCGCCCAGGACCTACAGCATAGTGAAGCCGCCGGGGACCCCGCTCAATTGTAGATACACTGTTTTAACAGTAGAAATACTGTTTGTATAGTAGAAACACTGTACATGGACCAGAATGTGGGACCCTCTTTTACTGTTTTAAGATTCTTTTTCTTCTTATTTATAGGCGCATTCATTTGAGAGAAGGCATCAGCCAAACTCTCTCTCTCTCTCTCTCTCTTTTGTAAATCTCCCTCTCTCTCTATTGTAATTACTCTCTTGCACTTTTTTTCCTGAAATAAATAAAATTTCCCGTTCATCGAACTCAGGCATTGCATTTCGGCCTTAAGAGGTATTTATTTTATTTTGTTAGATATTTCAAGTCTCTCCCCTCTAGCCGTGACTATGTCGGGCTAAGAAATTTTATATCTATGTTGAATATCTAACTTCTCTCCTATATACACCATGAAAGATCTGGTCTCTATCAAAATATAAAGGAATTTTTATATAGTTTTTTGGCTTGGTTCCGAGATGGTGGTACAGTCGGATCTAGTACTACTCTTATTGGCTTTGCCTTAGTGGATCCGTCTAGCAAGTCGTGGACCTAAGCCCGTTAAAGATGTTAAGAATATGCGTCCTTTTTCACGGTTAGAACCGCTATACAAAAGAGCTCAATAAGAGTATGTATTAGACCTGGACAGGCCCCTTGCTTGGGTAAAAGGATAACCCTTCTATACAGTCATCAAGCTATACGAAATTCTTGTATATTTTGGTTCTTATATATCCAATACAAAAGGGTACAATTTAGCTAGATCTGGATGGCCGTGCAGACTACCGCCAACCTACTCAATCCTGTTAAATGGTATTACAGCCTAGGAACTTTCATGGTATTTATGAGATAGATCTGAAATATTCAGTATAGATATGTTTTTCTTAATATGAATTTGGGAGAAACTAGTACGAAAAATACTAGACTTGAAGAGGTAGATATGCCTCAAAATCTTGATTTATTAAATAAATGGACAATTCCTAAAGTCCCAATTAGAACAATTTATGATTATGGATGGTTTGATAAATTATCTTCAAAACAATTGATAAAAACTACTGAGCAATCTTTAGCTTTAAACTCGTCTGAACAGACTATTCGTTTGTTAAACAAACAAGATGTTGATTTATATAAAAACAAACAAGTATAGTATTCGATATATATATATATATATATATATATATATACTATACTATACTATATGTGTGTGCGTGTGTGCGGGTATGTATTTTTTTAAATTACTTTTATATGGACATTATATCCTATCTTTGTATGTATATATACATATATGTATTAAAAGCTATATTATTACTTAAGTTTTAGCAACAACAACTTAAGTTTAATATGTTATAATATGTTAATATAACATTAATATGTATACATATGTTATAAAACTATATATATATATAAGCTATATACGATAAGCTCTCTCTCTCTCTCTCTATATATATCGAATATATCTTATATACTATGCACTTAGTATATATATATATATATATATATATATATACNNGTGTGTGTGTAAATTACTAAAAATGGGATAGCATACGGCCTTCCAGAGAGATCATTTCGGCGCTACATGGCTGGATTGCAAGGTATAGGGACTTCTGCCTAAGGCGAGACAATTGATAGGTCGACTCTTTCGTCTATGGAGAAAGATCGCAAAGCTTGAAGAGACAAAGGTTAGAGAGCAAAAGAGAGATGAACAATTTGATATCCTTCAAGTTCAGCTAGAAAAGAGGGACCAACAATTTAATCTCCTTCAAGATTAGTTGGCCAATCTTCTTGCTAGTGGTGCTTTCCCCATTCCCCGGTCTCGTGAGCGTTCCCCAGATGCTAATCCTTCTCGTCCTGATCCTTCGAACCATGCCGGCGATGAAGCTTCTAGTAGTGAAGATGGAAATGATGCAATACAAACACTCATTGAATGGTGTGTATTGCTAAACAAAGTCTTGAACTTGTGAATATTTAGTTGGGAATAGTTTTGAATGATGATTGTATTGTTGATATTATTTTGTTATTGAACATTTGTATAGTTGTTGTTGTGGTTGGCGTTGTTGTTATTAGCGTTGTTGTTGGTTAATTGTTGTTGTTGTGGTTATTGTTGGTTAATTATTGTTGGTTAATTGTTGGTGTTATTGGTTAATTATGGTTGAATGGTAGCAATGTAATGCTGCCATTATAGGATGAATATTGGTTGTAATTGGCAGGTGGTGTAGCTTAAAAGCATGCATATTCTACCTGATTTTTACCAAGAAAATCGACCGAAGTCAGTCGGATATCTCATTCTCTTTCCAGAAATTCAAAACTTCCAACCGAGTTCGGTCGGAAATTTCAAATGAATTCTGCAGAATCTTGAAATTTTCGACCGAAGTCGGTCGGAAATGTCTTTTTAATTTTTTTTTAGTACCGACCGATTTTGATCGGTTTATTACAATTTACAAATTTACAAATAATTGTTAATTATAATATATTTAAAATTCCGACCGATGTCGGTCGCTATTTGAAAAATAAAAAAAACGACCGTTTTCTGTCGGAAAATTTCGACCGATTTCGGTCGCAACACCTTAGCGACCATTATTGTTCCGACTAATTAAAAGCGGTCGGAAATCGGTCGCTTTTACTCAAATTCCGATCGATATTGGTCGGTTTTCATGAACGAAATTGGGCAATTTTCTAGTAGTATATAAGTAAGAGTTATATATATATATATATATATATATATATATATATATATATCTTGCAGTAGTTATACCTCAAGTAACTTAGCATTTAGCATACCGGGAAAATGATGACTACTCCCCTAGCTCATCATGTACGTGGAACTATGGATCTTGTTCAAAATGTCACATAATTATTCTTCAGTTTGTTTTGTCAAATCTATTGAAACATAAGCTGTTTCATTTGGTGGAGCGGCTTTTGCTTTGGTATCTTTGTTTACCCTTGCTGCTAAATCTGAGTTGTTCTTGCAAAACAATAAGCTTCCACTTTGGTTGACACAGTTGTAGAAATATGGCCAGAACACCCTTGTATATGATAGAGCCTAAAAAGGGCAGTCCAGTGCAATAAACTTTCACTATGCGCGGGGTTCGGAGAAGGGCCGAACCACAAGGGTCTAGCCTTACCCTACATTTCTCCAAGAGGTTATTTTCACAGCTCGAACCCGTGACCTCCTAATTACATAACAACTTTACCCGTCACGCCAAGGCTCCCATTCATGAAAATATTTGCCTGCAAAAATAAAAATTTGGCAATAAAAGATCATATCATTGTATTATTTCTATCACTCACTTTAATTTTTTTTGTTATCCAATTCTTGACGTTATTGTAGAATGTAAAATTTTCAATTATAATAAGAACGATATATAGTAGTTCTTATAAGTGAATCAGACATTATAGTTCTTATAAGTGAATCAGACATTCTCCTTTTCCTTTTTAAAAATATAAACTCCTTTAATAGTTATCAAATCATGTGAAAGAGGGGTAAATTATCTCTGTCTCATGGCTGGATAATTTGGCATTTCATTGCAATTCTGGATATTAGAATCTTTTTCTTCTTAATCTGTTCGAAATTTTGCAAGAATATTTAAATGTTAAATAGAGGCCTACATATATAAGAGAGCATGTGCATGGAGGATATATTGAGGACTTTAAGAAACATATACATGCAACTACAACTAGTTAGCAGAACATGTTGGAATATATTATTATTGGAAGTATCAGAATCTTAGCCTTGTGGATTTGCAGCATAAAAGGTAGCATGTGATGTCCAATAACATGGAATTATTGCACGAATTATCTTTTAGATTCTCAAATGGCTGCCTAATTCTGTCAACGGCTTCTTTAAGTAATCTAAAGAATTTCTTCACAAGAACAGAACAAAGAAAATTATTTTATGCTACAGCCTGCAAGTATTTGTAAAATTACTTTTAGAACAGAGACATTCGGATCTAATTTCGAGGTTGCTCGTGTAAAGTGATTAAAGCACACTTTATAAGACCAATAATCATTGGGGCTAACTCTCTAAACATAGACATTCACTTATGGACCCATCCTTTTTGTTTTGGGACCTTGCTAAATAAATCAGTAAAAAATTATGGGGGCCAGCTATTTGAGAAAGAAATGACATTAGAGGGAAAAAAAATCAGGATTGTATGGATAAATTAAAAGTCACAAAAGAAGTAACCTTGTGACCCTCTTAAATTCTCCTTAGACCACATGAAATTTACTGATTTGACTACTTTAGATTCATGTCAAATAAGCTCATTATGTTGAAGTGTTTTTACTAAAACGTTTTACATTTTTGTAGGCATCTTCATTTTCCTTTTACCCTTCCTTGTTGCTTATAGATGAGAGATATATATCATGGTAAGTAACTTTTTTCATTGTCAATTGTCAGCACAAAGTTTGCTAACGTCCCCTTCACGAGTCACGGCAATGACCATTTCCGACCCCTTGTTTTCTTCTACTGTCCACTACCTAATTTGTCCTCTTTTCCTCAATCTTGAAATGTGTGCTTGATACTCTCTCCAATTTCAAGCAATACTTCCCATAAAATGAGAGAAAGGAAAACATTGAAAAACAAAAAACCAGTCCTGCGTCTAGTTGTAAATTAATTAAACCTTTATTCCATAAATAATAGATATAACAGCGAGAAAATATATAGCAGTAAAACTAGAAACTATAAGAAAAAAGAATGTCAATCTTAAACAGTGGTTGACCCATGATTTTGTACAAGCGAGTTCAGTTAGAAATTGCGGTAGACAATTGTATAAGTGCACCAATAAACACCATTTGCGCAATGCTCTTTTTTTTTTGTTTCCATTACCACTTCAAAATGAAGTCTTTTTTAAAAAACGTTGGGGAAATATTTTAAATGTTTAAAATTTATCTTATAAATTAAAAAAAATTTATTTCAGAAAATTTAGCAATTTTAACCAAAAAAGTGCTTAACCAACTTAAAAATCGTATTATAACTCTAAGAAATATAACGTACAAAGTTACAAACAAAAGACACGGTAAAAAAGAGTTTTAAACCAAACTAATTAATCCAAGATGATTAACGAAAATGATATTGCACGCCAAGCTAAAACTTTGAGTATAACACAAATTAACAATTTCAATATAAACTAAACTAAATTTAATTAAAAGATTACAAGTAATTTCAATGAAGCACTCTCATTTTTTTAGTAAACTTATGACAAAGAGAACCAAAATTCACTTTGTAGAAAGATTTAAAATTTTTTGAACTAAAATGAAGTTTAATAAGAATAGCAAGGAGTTATAAAAAGAAGAAGAAAAAGAAAGACAAGAAAAGGAACATCACAATAAACAAAATAATGTACTCTTACGGCTAGGGGTGGACATTCGGTACTTCGCTTCGGTATTTATAAACTTCGGTTTGATATTTCGGTATTCGATTTATCAATTATGTATACCAAATACCGTACCAAAATAATTCGGTACGGTTCGGTATTTCTTACTTTGGTTCGATACAGTTTCCGTACGGTTTCGATTTGATACATTAACAGAATAATTAGGGCGAAAAACCTTAAACCTCAGACCATGTCACCAAAGGGTAAGTAGGAAAAGCCATTGTTGGCCTTAAAATGAAGTGCCCACTGCCCAGTAACACAGTTCCTTCAATCAAAACAAAAATCAAGCAATGTTCCATTCTAGATAGGAAGTTCATTATCCAAAAGATTCCCTGATATAACCAACCACTGCATCAAGTATCAGTCATTATGTCTTTTGTTAAGCTTAGGATTGTAAAAGAAAAGCCACAAGTTCCAATTCAAAAAGTTGACAGTCCCTGCCTCTAGAGTTGCTTTTCATTCCAACTCAGTTACAAAACTCAAGAGAATATTTTCTCAATCAAGAAAAGTAATATTGTTCTTTTTAGCCTTTCTGATTCTCTGAACCATACTTCTCGATTTCTCAAGATCACAACAGGCATATAGAGCCAAGATGAACAAGCAAAAATATAAACTTTGGTATGACAATACAGAGATACAAGAAATAGAGCCAATATGAACAAGCAAAAACATAAACTCTGGTATGAAGAAGTTATGAACCTGAATGAAAGTCAAGAATGAGCAAACAAGCAGTCGTCGAGGAGAGGAGTCGTCATCGCCGAGGTCGTGAAGCTATTGTAGTAGTCGTGACTCGTGATTCCACAATAACCAACCAAAGTTAAATTTTTTGAGAGAAGTCTAGGTTAGAAAATAGAAAGGGAAAGGGGGTAAGAGGCTAAGTGCAGATACTGCCCGTAAGTGCCTCTAAGGTATTAGGAAATTAAGGGTGTGGGCTTATACTTATTGGGCTGAAAATAAAAATAAAGTTGGGCTTGGACTAAAATATTTCGGTATACCGAAATAGCAAAAATTCAATACTGTATACTGTACCGAACTACCGAAATACCGTAATTTCTGCACCGAAATATACCGAAATACCAAAAAATTGAAATCGAAATACCAAATTAATTCGGTTTGGTTCGGAATTCGATTTTTCGGATTCTATGCCCACCCCTACCTATGGCTATAACAAAACTGATAAAGTGAAAAATGAATTTAAATGTGTGTTCAAAATACACATTTAACAAAGGGATAGTGCCTTAGAAAAGATTCAAACCGCCAACCATGGACTTTATTTTGAACCCACTTGACCGTTGCTCTACAACTTGCTTGTGTCAAGTGGGTTCAAGTACATTAATATTTATCGCTTTCATGTTTTTTTTTTTTCATAAAATTCGCAAATAAAAATAATTAATTTTTCCGATGGAGGGTTCATACAAGGTGGGTCCGCCCCTGATCTTAAAAACCCCCTAGATTAATAAAGCGGGAAATGTTTAAGAATAATTTACTCCCTAAAAGGAAGAAGACACTTTTCTGTGCATATTACAATTCCTCCATAAAGACCTGGAAAGGCTTCCTAATTTAAAAACTCCATTCATCTTGATTTATGTGAGGCATTCATGGATTTCAAGAGTCAATTTTTTTTACTAATAATCGTGAATTCTGACATAAAATTATAAAAAAATAAAATTTATATATATGAAAATTACATAAAAAGTACTATAAATCACAATAATTAACAATTCAAATATTTTAAAAAATGTATGAAAAAATTACGATAAAATAATAATTCATCCAAACTGCATCACTATGATCAGTTTGGTATGCAATTGATTACTCTATACAACATTCTAATACACCAAAAAGAAAAATAAAAAGAAAATAATCGCCAAGCTGTAAATCCGAATATATTTTTCAAAAAATTAATTAAAATGTGGTTGCTCGAGCCATGGCCAAAATCCAGGTGATTGGTCATCGACAAACATATTGGATAAAGTTTCTTGTTTGACAGTTTGGTCCATTAATTTCATATCGCTCTGTAGCACTTGTTGTCTTTGGAAGAGCTGTGCTACCCCATTAGGCCTCACCGGGGGTGGGAACAAGAGTCTGCTGCCCCTAGTAATTGGCTGATGAGCAGTGGATACTAATATTAATGGGCCGTCAATGGCTGCAGCTGTCATTGTGCTATCTAGCTTCATCTTTTCTGAGCTATTTTCACTGCTTGAACCTTCTGTTTCCTTGTTCAAGTTGATTGATAATTCTGTTGGCTGCTCTCCACTTTTTAGTGCCATTATCTGCAGCCATGTAATTTAATTAATTATTTAATGGACTAATCAATAATAACACATTAAGAGATCGTTTGGTTTGAATACGGCTTATACCGGAATAAGTTATATTGAGATAAGTTATGGTGAGATTAGTTATGTTGGGATTGTATTTTATCCACTGTTTGGTATGTTGTATTAAAAATAATAATTGCATAATTTCTATGAAGAATATATAAGTTATCTCGGCACTAATTACCCACCCTCTACAAGATATAAATTATTCCAGTACTAATTTTAATCCCGAGATAACTTAAACCAGATTTGCTAACCAAACAAAGTATTAAAATGATATTAAATTTTTATACCACCACTATACCTTCTTATCTCTCGTGTCAAACAACCCCGGACAGTATGAATCTGATGTAAAGAAAGATTGATACTGACGCAGTGAATCGACTAAAAGGGAACATGGGGAAAAAGATGAAAAGATTATTCTTTTCCGCTGAAAAACATGCACATCATGGTTTGGACTTTGGAATCCACTAGCAGAGAAAAAAGGTTCAATATTTCACCAAAGTAGCCAATATGCATATTATAACAAACAACAACAGAAAGAGGCATCATTATTGTTCAAGTTTTAACAAAGACTAGACACCCTGTCAAACTTTCTTACTTTTTCTCCATAAAGCTCCAAGAAAATAAGCTGTCTTTTATAAATCTGGAATATTAATACTTCCTTCGTTTCATTTTATTTAAACTTATTTGACTAGACTTAGAGTTTAAAAATACAATTTTAAACATGCCATGATATTTGTTGAAATTATGTCACTAAGAATAATAAAATGAGAAGGTTAATATTAAACTGTTTCTAAATATAGAAAAATGTCATTCTCTATAAAAAATATTAAAAAAGAATAGTGTAACATAAACCGGAACATCATATATAATCAATTTAATTTTTTCTTAAAAAAATAGTGTCATTGATTTGGCCATACCTTTGCATGAAGCTTCTGATTGTGAGCTAAGAGGGAATCATTTTCTGCCTTGACAGCTTCAAGCTGTCTCTTGAGAACATCATAGTCTTTCTCCAATTGCTTGGTTTTCCATCTTGCCCTCCTATTTTGGAACCAAATGGCAATCTGCTTTGGTTGTAAGCCAAGAGCTCTAGCCAACTGCATTTTCCTCTCTGGCTCAAGTTTATTCCCTAACTCAAAGTTCTTCTCAAGTGTCTTCACTTGTTCCATATTAAGCCTTCTAATTTTCTTCTCCCTGGCTGCCTCATGTAAACCATCATCACATAAATCTTCCTCTTCATGATTTTCCTCACAGTTATTATTAGCCTCCATCCCACTAAATGACATGGTTCTTTTCCCTAGAAATATTGAACCAACACCTGCATCAAAATAACCATTTATAAAATTCTTTTAAAAAAAAAAAGAACTTCTCCCCTATGTATAAAATGTAAATTTGAATAAGACAGTCCGGTATAAGGGATATAGGCAGACTATCCTGACACAAGTATTGATGATCGATTTCACGACTTGAACCCGTGACCTACAGATCATGCAAAGACAACTTTACCGTTGCTTCAAGACTCCATCTGAAATTTAAATAAAAAAAAAAAGTAAGAAAATTGACAAGCCTTGGAAGTCTTGATGGTCACTTTGGTGAGGAGTAAGTAGCATGAAATTGGGAGGGAAAAAAGCCATTTCCTTAGTGCAAGTCATGACCTAGAATACTTTTGCCACAACTCCAAAAGTTATGTGACTTTGAATCATACTTGAGAGGAGGAAAACAGAGAAGAGATAAAGAGATCAACACTTTTATTCAATAAGTACTGGAGAAAATATTAGAAGCGATAGTGATTTAATTGTTTTGTGGAGAAAATAAAATGGCAATGTCAGTTTTGGGGGAAGCTAAGATGCATCTATATTTCTGACGAAGGGATAGCTTATATACGTTATCAGCTTCATGAGGAGATAGGTGTCATTTGATACAATATTCGTCGAAACAATTCATTAAATTTACATGTGAATAAATATTTTCCTAAACGAATATGTATGTATACAATAAATTGACACCACTCTAAATAATATAAATTAAGCAACTATAAATTGGGACAGAGAAAGTATATTGTTGTAACATTCACAACTCCAAAACCAAATCTATATACCAAATGAGTTGTGATAATAGATCGATATAAATGAGTTGTAATACTAGATCGATACAGTTTCAAGAGAGCTTTTCCCTACTTATATTTGTTTTTCGATTTCCATCCACACACATTATATGCGTACGAGAATATTTAAGTGCTTCTTTACTACGTTTTCTACTCTGTTCCACGTAATTAGTACTGAAGATAGGCTTCAGCAATATCTAACTTCTTCAGGAATTCATTCATACATTTTTCTTGTGTAGACAGTTGTCCTTAATGAACTGATCATACGGGTATTCATTCATTCATACTGTTTATCCTCAAAATCGGATAACAATTGAATTTGTTAGTGGTTTAAAAGATATGCGGATTAACTTGATACAAAGTGATAAATTATGTTGCAATTGAAATAAATAACGATAAATTAACTGCAAATCACACGGATTGGATAGTTTTGGCCAAGGAAAGTTGACCACCGTCGAATGTACTTTGATTGACACCAAGATATCAAAGAAATAAGAATTTAGAGGATAACGGTAATGTATTGCTTATGAGTGTATGTTACAATATCCTTCATGAATTGTGAGACCCCCTTTATATATTAGGGGAACCTACTTTTCAAGTATTATTTTATTATTCCATAAAAGATAAAAAGGCCTTTGATTTGTTGACCGTTGGTCCCCTTTTTGGTATATTCCGTGATTTTCGCCATAATGCCCGGTTAGTTACGGGAATTTCGGACCCCTGTCGGATAAGCTGGCAATATATTCCTTGAGACCGTTATGACCGGGACCGGGTATGACTTCGATAAACTTAAGGAAAAATCTGGTGGTGTCGATGACTAATTTTAGTAATGCTTTGGTTCCGCTCCTAAAGATGTTCGTTCCTACGGGATGCCCAATCGGAATCAATTTCAAGGTTGATAAAATCTCCTCGGTACCGGGTCGGTGCGAACCGGTCTCGAGATACATATGTTCTGTCACCGACAATGTCCTCGCTAAAGTCAGGGAGGACTGCAACTGGTTTGATAAGCACGTGGTGGTTCCTTTGCCTGAGGAAGCGATCACCACCCACATGGAGGATTATTTAAGTGTTTACACTTATCCCTTCACGTTGGGTCCTTTAGATCCAGTTATTATAGCCTTTTGCAAAAGGTATGAGGTGACTCTCGGACAGATTCATCCTTCATTTTGGAGGATTGTAATTCTCCTTTGCTTCTTCGTGAGCAAACTCGAGGGGTGTGTCTTCACCATCGACCACCTTATGTGCATGTATAGTCCCCGACTCTATCGAGGGGGACTAATCAAGCTCGTATGTCGGGCCAGTAAGGCCCCATTCTCGAGCATTGATGAGGATCGAGACCGAGCCTGGTTGGGCCGATTCGTTAGAGTGAAGACTTCAGATTTAATTCCGGCCGAGGATATGCCATTTCCTGAGAAATGGAACATGAAACATAAGTATAACCTTGCCTTTAAGATTTTTTTTATCGCTTTTCCTTTTCCTCCCTTCTCATCGATATTTTGTGATGATGCAGTTGTTGCTCGGATGCCAGATGCAATTCCTTGACTCAAGGAGTGGGTCGAGGATATCACAACACATAGATCTTACTCTGAGCGCTCATGGCGTGAGCTTTCGAAGGGTCGTTGGGAGGCCCGTTCTCATGGTGAGATTTTTTCTTTAGGTCATGTTTGACTTTACTTTCACACCGTCGATTTCTAACTTGTTTTACTTTCCCCTTTGCAGGTTTACCAAAAGATGTTGAAATGAGGCCTTCGTCCGGTGATGATGACATTTTCACCGAGCCCCCTGCTCCGAAGCATGATAAAGAGAAGAAAAGAAGAAAAGCTCCGAGATCCCCGAGCTAGGAGCAGAAGAAACTGAAGAGGCGGCTGGCGCGTACATCCAAAGAAAGTACCAGCGCCCGAGAGCTCCCATCGGACTCACTCCAGCGGTTGAGGAATGAGTCCTAAGAAGAAAAAGAAAACTCAGAATTGGTGACCCGCGTGAGAAGCGGTACCGCGTTGCCTCGAACCAGGGGGCCGATGAAGAGGTAGTGGCCGAGGCCTCAGAACTTTGGAGGGTCGAGGCCGTTTTGCCCCGAGCTAGGGAGGTCGAAAAAGAGACCATGGCTGGTACTTCTCGGGCAGAAGATAATGTACCGAAGGATGCACTTAGGGTGATAGATCTCTCCAGGTTGCCTTAATTCACCGATTCTATGATAAACTAGGCTCAGACACTGAAAGGTCACCTCAGCGAGGGCCCCCAAGGAGCAGCAGATTCTTTTAACAGCTTCTTCGATGGCTTGGATTGTACTGCCTAAGAGGACGTCACCGGGTTGGGTGACTTACTGGTACCAAAGAAGATACCGTCTCCAGGAGCTGGCGGGTCTTCTTCAAGTCCGAAATTAGTAAACCAATTCCCAGCTCCGAGTGCAGATCCTACCCGGAAGCGGTTAATCATTATGTCCATTATGGAGGATTCCCGGGTTCTCTCCGCCCTCGTGGGGATTTCCAGTTATCTTCGGTGCCTGGTGACCGAAAAAGATCAAGCCTAGATGAATGAGGTAGAAGCGCCCTTCCTGTTCAATGAATCTCAACAGACGTTAAATCGGGTAACTTCGAATGCCCCTCTATCATGTACTTAGATTAAGTCGTAAATAATTGTAACATTTTCCTTTGTGCTTGCAGGCCTCGGTGCTTCATCATGAGACCTTTCTCTGATATCGGGAGGAGTTAAAACATCATGAGGTCGAGACTCGGGAGCTTACTGAGAAGAGGGATGCTTAGAAGCTTCTTAGTGAGAAACTCCAGGCTGAGCTAGAAGCGGCTCGGAAGGAGCATGCCGACCTGGTCGAGCAGGTAAGAAGAGTTTTTGAAGTTAGTGACGATGAGTCAGACACAGTAGCTAACGATCTGAACACACAGGTTCAAAAGAAACTTGACCAGATCGAGTAGCTGTGGGTGGAGGTGGATACGGTCAAAGCTGAGGCCAAAGAATGGAAGAAAAACATGGATCGCTTGGCCTCGGAAAAAGGAGACTGCCCGGGCACAGTTGGCTTTGGCTGAGGCCCATCTTCGAGCTGCAAAGGAAAAAACCTCGGTATAGGCCAAAAAGATCGAGGAGCTCCAGTCTCAGCTGAACTCGGCTGTCTTCGGTCAAGAAAATCTGGCCAAGGAGCTTGAGGTGGCCAAGTTAGAGGTTGTCGTGGTCAGGGCCGAGGCTGATAATAGGGTGGCCAGCACAAGGTCGATGCCGAAGCGGCTTAGGACCAAGCGAGAAATATGGTGAAGCACGCGAAGTGGTGATCCCGAAGGGAGGCCCTTGAGGGAGTCCATGCTCGGGATTTTGATTTATTGGTTGAAATCAAGAATGCCAAGATATACCAAGCCAAGGCGAGGAAGCTAGCTTATCCCGAGGAGGAAGATTCCGAGAGGTCTTAAGATTTGGGTGAGTCCGATGGTGGCGAAGACCCCATAGGCGATGACGTGGCCCCTCGATGAAGACTAGGCCATTTAGGATCTTTTTAAGCGTTTTTGCCTTTTGTTTTTTGTATCATCTTTTGTTGAGGTCGTTCGGCCTTTGTAAAAACTTTGTATCGGGCTATTAAGCTCTTGTAAAAAGCNGCAAAGATTGAAATGCCTTAGTACTAAATAGCTAGGTCGTGTTCGGGGTTTCGAATAGGTTTTGCCTTTGATTTTTCTTAAGGCAATGCAACTTGGTATGACCAAAATTGTTTCCCAAAGTACTTGTAATCCCTTTATAGTTTTGCCGAAGGTACCTATTGTCACGGAGTTCGGACATCCCAGAGCCGTCTTTAGTATAATCGTAGTCTTTTCGAGTTCGAGCGATGCCAAATAAGCTTCATGTCTTCAAGTTTTGTTAACCCGGAACGACTTTAGCCTTTTAGTTCGAGTAATGCCAAATAAGCTTCATGCCCTCGAGTGTTGTTAACTCGGAATGGCCTTAAACTTTTAGTTCGAGCAATGCCAAATAAGCTTCATGCCCTCGAGTGTTGTTAACTCGGAATGGCCTTAAACTTTTAGTTCGAGCAATGCCAATTAAGCTTCATGCCCCCGGGTGTTGTTAACTCAGAGCGGCGTTAGCCTTTTAGTTCGAGCAATGCCAAATAAGCTTCATGCCCTCGAGTGTTATTAACTCGGAACGACCTTAGCCTTTTAGTTCGAGTAATGCCAAATAAGCTTTATGCCTTTCACTAACCTGGAATGGACGTAGCCTTTTAATTCGGGCAATGCCAAATAAGCTTCATGCCCTCGAGTGTTGTTAACTCGGAGCGGCCTTAGCCTTTTAGTTCGGGCAACACCAAATAAGATTTGTGCCCTCGGGTTTTGCTAACTCGGAATGGCCGTAGCCTTTTAATTCGAGCAATGCCAAATAAGCTTCATGCCCTCGAGTGTTGTTAACTCGGAGCGGCCTTATCCTTTTAATTCGGGCAGCGCCAAATAAGCTTTGTGCCTTCGGGTTTTGTTAACCCGGATCGGTCTTAGCCTTTTAGTTCGGGCAACGTCAAATTAGCTTTGTGCCCTCGGGTTTCACTTACCCGGAATGGTCGTAGCCTTTTAATATAGGCAATACTTAAGTGGTAATCCCCAAGTGAAGTGGCTCTTGGGCTCGATGTCTTCGAGGAACCTAAACGAAAAAATCTTTGTGAGGATAGGAATTTTTATTCAAATAGGCATAGACTTCCTTTCAATTTTGTGCGTAGTATACAACGTTAAACTTGTATTTTTTGTCCGGGCTTGGGTGATCTATGTGGGCACGGTTCAATCGACCATTTGGCCTCTACAGAAAATCTTACTATTGAGCCAGCCTAGATTGTTTGAGCACAAGAATCAAAAATCATTCCCCCCGGATTATGCCCCTTAGTGTACGGG